TTCTACTTTTCCTAATAATTATCTACTAATAATATTTGTTATTCTGTATTATATATTAAATTAATCGGCCATCGAATTATATTTTTATGTAACTTTGTTTAAAAATTAGATTAACCAGAATGTCCAGAATGAAGTTCTAGATTAATATTAAAATTAGACATATAAATATCGAATTAGATATGAATAAGAATTAGAATGTAAATATGTTCGGTGCAAATATCTATATGCTTTTACGATACATTCATTCGCGAAAAATTCATGAAAAGATCTCTTCAACGATTCAACAAGGTCAATATAATATTTTTAGTCCATCGTAGCTTTGCCGTTCTACAATTCGCGATCCCGTTACATCTCTCTCTCTCGATCCTAACGCCTCGCAGTGCTCGACAGTTTCATTTAGTGAATGTTTCGATTCATCCAGTGCTCCTTTTTCCTTTATTCAATTAATATCTTCCATCATGTTAGTAAATGTCATTGACTGTTATTAATTGACTTAACTCAATCGTCGTAGTCATTAAATGTCATAGATTTTACATTAACGGTAATAGAATCAGTTTTTAATGTCACAACTCTGTCTAAATCTAATTTATATAGTAATAATAATATGCAAATTATATTAAGTGTTGTATACGTATAAATAATGTTGCATAAACAATGAATTTTTCCTGATAACAATACTTTAAATACTCGTTTGAATATCGCGATGCGGGAGAATGCAAGAGAAAGAGAGAGCGTCTATAAAACGTCGTATCGCGAATGTGAATGAAATACCCGTATTTGATCATGCAGATTAGTTCGCGATAAAGTCAATGTCACGAGTGGGAAAAACATGACATAAATGTCGTTTGAATGTTACTTTGAACATGATCGATATCAGCGCTCGCATACATATCAGTGAAAGTTAAATCGCTATCGAAATACCATGCGAAATGCTTTGAAAAGCGCGTAACGATATCCATCTATTAAATCATTAATTTTTTGTTCAAGATTGTTCAACAGGCATTTATACAATCAGTGTTTATCAATTTATTAGTAAAAATATATTTAGATTTAACCACTTTCACAGAATACGTCTCTATTGCAATCAACGTTTATCGATTTATTAATAAAAATCTAATTGGATTTAACCACTTTTGCAGGACACATTTCTGTTGCATCGTGTACAATTAACTTTTAATCATTTTTATTAATTTTTAATTATCAGCATCGTCCTCTCTTCCCTCTCCTGCGCGTTGTCATCGAAGCCGAGGGAAGCGAACGATAAAATAGAATCCTACACGAGAGACCAAACGTCAAATCATGAAGTAAGAATTTCCGACAAACACGAACAATCGTTTTTCACATCAACGGACGTTCTGAGGAGACGAGTAAATATTTCATCGGACTACAATCCTTTAACCCCAAAGATCCAAGAAAGTAACGCAAATACTTCGTATCCTGTCGAAGCGCGCTTGAAATACGTACCGGGGTTGCTAAAGAAAAAGATAGACGAGGTAGCGGCGGATGTGTTACAGCCAAGAGATTCCGAGATTGGAATCACGTACATTCCTGCGAAAGAGACGAATCAGACGGGAGATGGAATCCGACATGAATTTTTGAACGCATCGCGCATTTCTGAAAGCTCCGCAGTAGCAGAATCGGCGAAAAGAGAAAAAGGGCACGGGGAAATCGGAAAGACGGAAGATAAACTCGATCGAGAGGGGGAGCCTCTGACCGGATCGTTGAATAATGCCGGCGTCAAACTTAACGTTTCGAAATCGTTGGGCGATGCGAAAAATAACACCCCGCAACAAGTAGAGTTTCCTCGGAAACAAAACGACGATGTCCGAGCGAATAAAGATTCTAACATCGGTGATGTCTCTTCGACGACGAAGGCACACTTTGCAGAAAAGTCGGATGACATTCCTATTCAAATGACCAATGCGATCGCGAAGGCGCAGAATGCTGACTCGAAAGTTGATAATCAAACTCTGGAGAGTCGTACCGAGGAGGAGAACTGGGAATCCGAGGAAGACGATTTAATGAAAGCCGCGGATTTTGGATTGCAAGCCATGCACGATCTTTATTATGTCCAGGAGCCTAAATTATATTCAATGGGTAAGCGCTTAAAGAAAGTAAACTGATTTATTGCGACCGTATTATTCGGTATAATTTATGTATGGATCTACGAGGAATCTCATGTGAAAAAAACGAACATATAGGTCTTTACCTGAAGAGCGACAATCCAGCGAGATTCGTGGCGGCGTTTAACGACCAGTCGGAGGAAGCGAGAGATCTCGCGAAATTCGGCTACGCGGCTCTTCAGGGTACCACTATGTTCTTAAAAAAGTAAGTTTCTAGTAAGTAATAGTAAATTTGTAATGTCGAGGTAAGGAACTTTACGAGAATTCCTGCTTTGATCGCTTCTTCAGGTTTCCCAACGCTTCCTTGGAGTTGCCTTTGTTCCGGAGTAAGCTTACCCGGAGAACCTCGCTGGAACGACAATGTCCGCGACGAGAGCCACCTCAATGCCCACGGGCTAGTCTGAGATACAGAACATCCGACGGCAGTTGCAACAACTTGCAAAATCTCTGGTGGGGCTCCGCCATGTCTGCGATGCTGAGGTAATTTAAGCAACGATAATATGATCTTTGAATATAAAAAAAAAAAACAGAGAATATTTAATAATACTTTTAAGCCTTCCAGTTGCTTTCTTCAAAAAAATTAATCCATTTACCACTATTTACCACTATTATGATACATTGTTAAATCCAATGTTTCGTTAATGTTGCAATTCTCTTCATCAGAGCAACTTGATAATGATCTTCTCACTCCGATGAAGTGAACTGCAATGTTCACAAAACAGAAAAATATTTCCCTGCAATTGAGCTAAAAAGTTTATCGTTAAATTTAGATTTCTCCCACCGGAATATGATGACGGTGTTCAAAGTATTAGAAAGTCGAAGAACGGAAGGCCGCTCCCAAGCGCACGAGATATCTCAAACGTAATCCACGAAAATAAAGACGTACCTCTAGCTTCCGTTACTCATATGCTAATGCAATGGGGACAATTTGTAGACCATGATTTGACAGGTGTATTATTGAACATTTTTTTTAAATTCCTTTTTATTTAAATATTTTTTAAAATTATGTTTATCATTTAACTATGGTTTTTGTATTTAATAGCTACCGGTCAAAGCAGAGGATTTAATGGGACAGTGCCACAATGTTGCTTGCAAAGAGGCATCGGTCTTCAACCGTCAGAATTCATGGTAATAAAATAATCAACAATTATTATTTATAACTTCCAGCCATAATGTCGATTCATTATAAACACTTTTAAAACACTTTTTATTTGTATAAAAATGATTTATGTCGTGCCGACACGTCCGCGTTGAATTTTGTATATCTCGATACGAGTAATCGCTTCAAATTGAAAAATTTAAGAGTCGTAACTTTCATCTCTGCACTCAAAACGTTCGCATTTCGACATTCCCCACGAGGAAGAAAATATATACCCCTAATATATGTCGATAGCACCCGGAGTGTCTTCCGATAACAGTGAATCCACGCGACAGCTTCTACGGTCCTCTGGGCGTGAGGTGTCTGGAGTTCCTGAGAAGCGGACCCGCTCCTAAAGAGGGTTGCGAATTCGGCCGGAGGGAACAATTATCTCAGGTGACCAGTTATCTGGATGCCTCTATGGTTTACAGCAGCAATGCCATGCATAGTGATAGTCTGAGAATCTTTCGAAACGGTGAGTGCACCACTTCCGATTGGTTTATCGAAGAGAAAAGAAGAAAGAGGAGTAATTTCTCCCTTAATTCCCGAGAATCCCTCTTTCTCAATTCGAACCTTCGAACTTCCTCAGGCTTACTGCAATACGGAAGAATACAGCGGAGATCTCCGCTTTTGAAACGCGAGTCCGACTTGTGCAGACGTGGCTCTTTGTCCACGACCTGCTTCCGGGCCGGCGACGGACGTCTGAGCGAGCAACCTGCTCTCACGTCCCTGCACATCGTTTTTCTAAGATTGCACAACAGGCTAGCTATGGAACTATCCGCTCTGAACTCCCATTGGAGCGACGAGAAAGTTTTTCAAGAAACTCGGCGGATCGTCGGCGCGGTGGTCCAACATATAACTTATCGAGAATTCCTACCGATCATTCTTGGTAAGACAACTTTCAATTTGGTGTTACTATATTCGCTTGAAAATAACATGCTCGATGGTATCGTGGAGACCAAAGAAGACAGAGTAAAAATACTATAATCGTTCCCCAGGCCGCCAAGTGATGAAAATCTTTGACCTGGAAGTACTTAAAAAGGATTACTATGAAGGATACGATCCGAGCGTAAATCCCACCGTTGCAAATTCATTTTCTACAGCGGCTTATCGATTCGGGCACTCATTAGTCCAGCCGAGTTTCGTTAGATTTGATAGTGATCACAGGCCCATCTTTAATAGTAAGTAAAATTATAATAATGTTTATAATGTAGCAGTAAATAACGGTAATAAAATTAATAACAGTTATTAATAATAATGTTATCATTTAATATTATTATATTATATTATATTATTATATTATAATAATAAAAACTAATATAATATACTTTAAAACCCATTTTTCGGGAGATCTATAACTCTGAAGAAATCTGATATATTTTTATATAATTTTTTAAACATAAAAAATGGTACATATGTATATATAAAATATATAGCCAAATGCAATACGCGATTAAAATACGCGATTTATAAAATGATAAATTACATTGTCTTTTGAAATTTAACGTAAATCATAATCATCTAAAATAATCAAAATTCTCTTTAATTATTAAATTAAAATTAATATTTTATATAGCATAGCAAAATATAAATTTTATAAAAAAAACGAACAAAATTTTTATAAACATAAATTTCCGAGAGATACACGGTGCACCGCGTTGTTGCATGGCATGTACTCGTTGCATAGTAGAATACGTGGTTAAATGCCTACAGGCGCAAAAATGCAATTGATATCTACAAGAATTAATATTTTCCTTTTTCTCTTCTTTAAAAATTTTCTAAATATATTTCCATTAATTAATTTGATACTATGATATATTATTTGTCTTATTGTGTAATTTTTCTCATATTTATCAAAAATATAAAATTGTTAATCATAATTTCGAATCATAATATTTTAATATTTGAGCTACTCGGAAACATTTTCTAAATATTTGAAGCAAAAATTTAACTCGTAAATGGAAAGCATTAATAATATGTAAACTATAATGTAGAATAAATATATATAATGTAGAATAAATATATATAATAATATATAATGCAATATAAATATATCTATAAGTAGAAAAATATATAAGAGAAACTGGTTACTCACTAGAAATTGGCTAGCTTTTATTCTTTTGAACTTACTGAATAGTAAATTCTTGGCCAGTTTCTGATTTGTTTTCTACTTGGGATATAATTAGTTTTATTGAGAAAAAAAATTGAGCAGAATTCAATGCAAGAAATAAATACTGTCACAGATGTTTCGATCCACAACGAGTTTAGCAACCCAACAAATTTAGAGACAGCGGGATCTGTCGATCGCCTTCTCCTAGGCCTAGTGAATCAACCGTGTCAAAAGCGAGACGAGTTCATGAACGAGGAGATGACGAATCATCTCTTTCAAACCCCTGGTTTCGCATTCGGTATGGATCTTGCCTCTCTCAATATCCAGCGGGGTAGAGATCACGGTTTACCACCTTACGTGCGATGGCGTGAGCCTTGCAGCCTGTCGCCGATAAGAACCTTCGAGGATCTCAATAGAGTGATGTCGTCGGATGCTGCGAGAAAATTTAAATCACTATACTCATCGGTGGAGGATATCGATCTCTTCTCGGCCGGTCTAGCGGAGAACTCGGTGCTTGGCGGCCTGGTCGGTCCAACCTTTGCTTGTATAATCGGTCAACAATTCAGTAATCTGCGACGTGGCGATCGATTCTGGTATGAGAATCCCAACAGCGAAAGTAGCTTCACCATCGGTCAGCTGCAGCAGATCAAACAAGTCAGTTTGGCCCAAGTGCTGTGCCGAGCGATGGATGGCATTAAAACCATACAACCGTTCGTCTTCCTCGCGGCTGATATATTGAAAAATCAACGTCTTCCTTGCGATCATCCGGACATTGGACATTTAAATCTTGAATTCTGGGCCGAACGGCCATCCGAAGTCAAGGTCGACTTCGGCAACCTGCAGAAGACTAAACGAACAGCGACCGATACGACAGCGAGGAGAAATCCCATTTATAAATTGAAAGAGGAAAACGTCAATCCCAGGAAAAAAACTGATAATCCCGAACAAAAGAAAACACCTCAGAAACCTTTCCAAAATAGTATTAATCAAGAGAATAAAATCATCGTGAAAAGACCACTTGGACGTCCGGACGATAACAATTTCACAATCGTGGTTCAGAACAATGCCGTAAATTCGCCCGTTTTCGTGAACGAGGGTATTTATGGTTCACACATAAAGATACAGGAAAATCCTCCTATTAGACCGATCTCAAATCTTAATCACGCTATAATAAATCCTCTGTATAAGCCGCAAGAAAAACCTATACCGATGTCTATTCCTCATTCGTCAAATTTTTACTCAGCACGTCACCCATACATTCCCCACACTTTCAGTGATCCCCATAATCCGAATCCGCTTGCTTATGGATACAGATCGCCTGCCTTCGCGCAAGATGATGTCTTTTACGACAATTATTCTGCCACCAGTCCCAGACCAACTCTCTATACTTATTACACAAATGTTCAGCAGACATCTAGTACCAAAATACCAGATCATGAGATTAACGGTTATTTGATTAATTATGGACCATCGTATCATGATTCGCTTCCAGCGCATACTCATGAAAGACCTAAACCTCCGACAAATACGTGGTTGACTAGACCGAATTACGCACCGAGTGACGGATCTTATCATTCGCACAGACCAAGTTATGACAAACCTTCAATAAATACACGGCCAAATTCTCGACCGAATTATACGTCGAATAATGAACATTATCATACGCACAAAGCAAACTATAGTGAATATAAACCTTCAACAACTACACGGCCCAATTATGGAACGAATGATCAATCTTATTATACATCTAAACCAAACTATGATGGACATAAACCTTCGACGACCATACGGCCACAATCCTTCCACAATTCCCGACCGAATTATGCAACAAATGATGAATCTTATCATATGCACAAACCAAATTATAATGTATATGAATCTGCAATAACCACGGGACCGAATTATGCAACAAATGATCAATCTTATCATACACACAAACCAAACTATGATGGATATAAACCTTCAACGCGACCGAATTATGCAACGAATGATGAATCTTATCAGATGCACAAACCAAATTATAATGTGTATGAATCTTCAACGACCACGCGGCCAAATCTCCAATTGAATTATGAGTCCAACGGTAAACCACACGAACCATTTGAACACAAACCAAATTATAATAGACCTAAGCCTTCAGCCAACTCAAAACCGAATGATGATTTGCATCATACACAAAAACCAATTTATGGTATATTCATATCCTCAACAAACTTTCGACCAGATATACCGAGTCAGGAACCATACGGCATACAAAAGCCAGATGGTAATTTTCATTTGCAAAATGACGATTTGATTAATAGGCCGAATAATGGTTACCCCATTGGTCCTGGGGAAAAGCCACATCAGGGACAATGGAACTTAAACACTTATCAAAAGAGACCTAGCGAGAGACCACACGATTACGACGATCCTGACGTGTATCAGAAAAAACCGGACGTTAAACCACCGAGTTATAATACTGAAAATTCTCATCAAACATCACTGATTAATAGACCAAGCAGCGAATATAATTCTCAAAACTGGAAGAAAGACTCGCAGTCTCCTGTTCAAGATCCTTTGCAAAAGATTTTTGAATCTGTTCCGAATTCTGTAACAAATGTTCCTTTTTATCAAGAAGACACGTTTACAGGTTCAAGTACTTCATCTCCCGCAAATTACGATCAATACTCGGATACTACTCCGATTTATCAAAAAATACTGTCATCTACCCAAAGCGGTTGGACGGATGTTTCGTCTTATGTAAGAGAAGATACTACTCGACCCACTTTTAGCAAAGATTCATTTTATAACTCTCCTTTATCTCTTCAAAGGCCAACGAATCATCTAATTCATCAGAAAGACGATCAGTCACAACTATCTTCCTATTCAAAAGCATCGGTCGATGAACTCCCTGCCATTACAGATTCAAATAAACAGAATGAATCTTATAAAATTCCCATAAAATCATCCACTTTAAATGATCAGTTATTATCTAGTACTCCATACTGGTCGGAAACTTCCACGATTGGTTTCCAAATACATAAACAGGAAGGAAATTTTAATACAAAATCAACGAAGGTACAAAGCGTCACGATCGTTAGCGAAACGATCGAAACGGTTCACCATCCTGGTCATTCCGGATACATATCTCAACAACAAAGAGTTACCACCGAGGTTCCAAGGCCATTGGCGCAGCAGATAAAGAACAATGTAGCAGTTATCAAGAAACCTGGACAATATTATTACGAGAAGAACGTGCTGCATCGATATCCTGACGAAGTAGTTGAGCAAATTCCCACAAATAATTACCACTTAACGAAACAATCTGAGGAAACACTCTTTCGGAATCGGGAAACGGCTGAGGAGATCACGGTAAAAGCGGTCACCGACAATTCCGTAATAAATTCTAAAGCGATCCAAAGGAACGAAGACAAATTAACGACAACACCTACACTCGTGATCACCGACCACGATAATGACGGAGGTGACGTAGTGGACGACCTCCAACGTACTTTCTCGGCTGATCTCAAAAGTGTTGCATCGACTGACATTCCCAACAGGTATTTCTCGTAATTTCCATGTGCGCGAATAATTGTAGTCAATAGTCCTACCACGTTATAAAATACCAGTTCTTGTCTGATCGCTGAATGAATAATTGTGCCTTGAAATCGCAAAATAAAATGATCAGTTCTCCTATGTGTTTTAGGTAATTGGCTAACCAAACAAATGATCGATGATTATGTTTCATTACTACGCAATAGTAATATATTCAATATTTTAAATTGAATCTATCTGTTACGTCTATACGTTATATCTGATAAATAATATCAAGATTTAAAGTTTGATTTTATATTTTTTGATTTTATATTTCAATTAATAAAACTCCAAGATTAATAAAATGTTAGATCTTTAAATTAATTCTTTTGATAAGTGAATTATTAAGACAATTTCACGCTTGAAAAATCTTTTTTTTTTAGAACTTTGGTGAATTCGCAAAAAGATCGAAATTTATCATTGATGTTGGAAATACCCGCAATTCCATCCAATGAATCCACCAGTGCCAAGGAATTACCTAAGCCCATTAATCGAGGAGTCACGCTACTTAAAGTTTCTACGCTTCTTAATTCGTCCTCAATACTTTCGATTTCCAACTGAAATCGATGGAAAGTTTCAGAACCTCGTTTATTTTATTAAATATCATTAAAAATCCGGCGCTATTAAAGCTATAATAATATAATACTTATATTAATAATGTAAGAGGATTACAGAATATTTATTTTATACTTTAAGTTCTACTTTAATTTAGCAAATATAAGTAAATATATATTATCAATTTAATTTTGTAATATTATTCAATTTATTTGATAAAGTATCTATATATTTAGATGATAAGTTTTAAAAAGATCACATATCTACATCATTTTCTTAATAAAATATAAATTTTCGATATAAAATAAATCGATAAAATAAATTATATTACATACAATATAAATATGAAAATAAAGTGATAAATTGATAAGGATATGCTTTTATTATATCAATATCTCACTCAGGACAGCTATCAAATTTCAGATCGAATTGTCAATTCTCGATAACGTATAAAATTTAATAACTTCGGAATTTGGTTATAATTAACTAATTGTTCGATATATAATTGCTGATACATTAATTTATATACTCGCAAATTAATCTCAATAAAATCTTGTAAAATGCATAATACAATATATAAGAAGAAATGACAATTTAAATCGGAAACACAACAGAATTAAATTGTCAGATTTTTAAATTATTGATAAATATTTGAGACATGACAATTAACATTGTTAATGCTAACGTCATTAATTTCCTCTAAAATTTTGATGCGCGGTCTTAATGGATTATTTCATTTCTATTTACAATAAATTCCAAAGTGGTTACTTTTATCCTGTTACTCCTATCTTTTATTATTTTTAAAGAATGATGTAAGTTTCAATTCTTTTAAAATATATGCGCTACGGATTCATTTTGTTCGCCATAAATTTTGGAATCGAAATCTACTATCCCAGAAGGATTTATGGCCACTAACGTTTCTTTGGCGAGCGTCACATGAGAATGTTTGGATTTATACGAAATTTATTCTTATAGAAAGGCACACTCTCTAAATATACAAAAAAGAAATATAAAAATTAATATTCGAAAATTTTATACACATAAAGTCTGGATGTTACTAAAATTTTCTAAAGAAATTGAAAATCGAGAAAGTGAATCGAGAAATTGATATTAAGATATAAAATTAATTTGTTTATTAGGGTTTAAATTTAACGCATTTAAAGAAACAATTTTAATTTCGTTAGTCTTCATTTTTCAAGATTCTCTTTTCTAAGATTGTTCTTTCTAGTTTCAATAGAATCTTTGGATCCGTTGCGAGTTTTCGGGTCACCGCGGCAAAAGGCAACGGCCGTCGCGTGATCGAAATGCACTTTTCAGTGTCCTGAAGTAGCGACCTCGATTTCGTCGCACATTCTGCACCATCCGAATTCGATGAGATGAGAAATGATGCGCGCTGGGACCTCGGTTGACCAAACGAAATCGTTCGGTCGTGCACTTGCGATCTAATCGATGACCATGGCGCTCGCGACTAACTGCTGATCCCGGTGAGCATTCACCTTCGTACGCGAACAAAGCGATATTAATCGTTCAAGATTGAGATTTAAATTAATTCCGAAGAAAGAAGTTAGAAGTTAGTTATAGAAGAAAAAGAAAAAGGAAATTTAAAGAGTAAGAAATTTTAAAAATAAGAAGTTAAATTGTGGTATTAATAAAAGAAATTTTCCTTATTTTTTTCTACAATTTAGTATAACTAAAAGTTATATATAGTTATATATAGAGTTATATATAAATTCGGATAAATTTATATTGACATGGCTGTTTTTATTATATTATTATATTATTATGTGTACGTTTATTATTATTATTGTTGTTGTTGTTGTTGTATTATATTATACAGTAACCTTATCACATATAATTTACTTGTAAATTCAATGTAAAATTGTTAAATGTGATTCCAATCAAAATAGACGATAGTTTTAACGTTAAAAATACCAAGTTTATTTTTGATCATTTTTTTTATTTTTCTAAATTATTATTTTTTTAATATCAAAAAAATAGAATGTAAAAATTTTCCGATTTTATAATATTTTATCAAAATAAAAGGAATTAATATTCCATAAAAATAAAAGAATTAATATTCCATCAAAATAAAAGGAATGAATAAAAAGTTAAAACATTTCAAAATCGTGTCTCTCTAATACGAGAAAAATTATTTAAAAAAAAAAAATAAAAGTGATTAGAAATGACCGGTATTTCAAGTGCTAAAAAAAATTGTAAAAGGAATAAATATTCTGGCATCGCATCACGGTACGTAAGGCGCATGACGCAATCGTTTCCATAAGACAATTCGAGCATCATCATCATGTATAGTTCTCACGGTAATCTCTCACGAGGATAATAATCATGATACGCAACGCGAGCATATTACTTTCTCTCAACATAGTATATTATTATCACATAAAAGAAAGCGTAATACTTATTATAAGATGCCATTGACATTGCGTTGCATATAATGATATATACGTGTGCGCATATTTCGATTTCACGTTTTCTGAGAAACAAGACGAAGCCGTAGCGAGCACTGCCACCATTTATAATTTGCGCTCTTTAATTAATGCAAAAAAAATTGTCCACTTACGAATTGCATATAAATAGTAACATAATAATAATTCTGAATTCAAATAGCAAATCTGGTGACGTAATGTGTGTACATTCACGCTATTTATAAATTTCATAGCAAATCTCGAATAGCATGAGTCGCGCATAGTCTGGCGCTAACTTAATAGCTATATATAATACAAATATAATTCTATGTATGTAACACATACTTATATATATGTGGATAAAGATACACAAACTCACTACGTTCGACGAACTATCTCTCTCCATTGTCGTCGCAGCGGTGGGCTCATTCCGGAAAACGCACGCTGTCCAGGAGAGAAGGTCCACAATCCAACTTCCATTTAGCTGTCTTCTTCCAAAAATACGTCAGATTCTCCATGAACCGAAAGAGAAATGATATAACACATTCCTGTATCAAAGAAAGATTAGAAAATTTATTAAATGTACTTAAAATACGAACTTATTTGCAAGAATGAAATTGCGCGCAAAATTTTCTCATCTACAATTACTTCATTTTATATTAGATTACATAGAAACATAATGTAAATAATAAAATTTAAGCAGTTTTGCTGTTTTCCCTCTCGGCATGTTTGTTTCATTCGCGATTGAAATCCGATAAAGAATTTTCTACGTATAATTATATATAGAATATGTTTATATATAAAAATGTTTATATATAAAAATTACATATAATTATATATTGATACATATATTTTTGTATATAATCACATATCTGTACATAATCATATATCTGTACTCATCACTACATAAATAATTATATATTTTTATGTATGAACATATTTTATAACGCCTTTTAATTATATAATATTATATATAGAAAATTTTTTACCGAGAATTTGAGGTCTGTTCTTTGTAACTAAAGTATAAAAGTTTTATACTTAAAATGAAATAGATATATATTTGAAGTTTGGCACAAGCAAAATATATAAAAAAATTTTAATTCAATCCAGTGCTGCGACAAAGAATAGACTTTTATCTCAATATATCAATATTTCTGAATAATTAATTCAGATTCTGAATCCGATTGGATTCTGTCATTTAACGAGAATATTTCAGGAAGGTAGAAAATATTTCTTATTATTGCGAAAAGCAGATGAGAAAACAAACATGTTTCGCCACATCGATTCCTTGTTCTTTTATTCCCTTTCACCATATTTGGAATTTACCTTTCGTCGTACCTAATAACATAGTTACGTCCATCAATGTATTGAATTGTGATCAATGTTTATGAATTGTCGATTAATGTAACCTCTTAATCTATAATTGGATTCTCATTTAACGACGATATCGCGGGTGGAAAGCGTCTTCGTTATGATAAAAAAGAGATGAGAAATCAAGCGCGAGCCAAATCGAGTGCTAGTTCATCTCCCTGCCGCCATACTTGTTTCACTCACGATTAAGATTCGAATTTTGCCGGCTGGCAACTCGATCGGCGCCTCCACGGTACTATTCCTAATTTCCTTCACTTTTCAACACCGTGGCATTTTTAATGACGATACCGCGACGAAGCGATTACACGCGCCGATAGCTCCGCGCCAGACGTCTTCATTAACGCGGAAAAAAAAGAAAAGAAAGAAACAGAGGGAAACGTAAACGCAGTCATCTATTCGGTAGACTCGTCCCGGGATGCGACGTTAAAATAGCGGAACAAGCGGACGCAGAGCAGGCTTCTTTTCCGTAGTCGCGATAGACGGAGACGGGTAGACGAGCAGACGACTGGGAGAAAGCGGGAAGGAGCGCGTGCGCGAGCGAGCGAGAGAGATGGCGCGTGGGAAGCGCGGTGGAGTGGGGGAAAACGGTGGTTCGATTCCGGCGTTCCAGTCGCCGCGACAGCGAGTGGCGACGAGCGGGACGAGCCGAGCCAGTCGGTAGCGGCGCGTCGTCCTGGGCGCGAGTCGCTATGATGAATCGGTATAGGCGGGAACCTGTGGTGATGGAGACCACGACGACGGTGCTGGTGTCCCTTCTGCGCGTACTCGCCGTGTCGTTCGTGTTCGTGTGGCCGGTGTTGGGCGAGGAGACGACTAGTCTGACCAGCCGCATGCGGGCGATCAGCGAAGATCTGGACCGGCAACTCAACGAGATAATGGCCTCGCAGGCGCTCAGCTATTCGACGATCAACACCGTCGGGCTGTCCTACAACGCCACCACCAAGTTCAATCCGAAGGGCATGGGCCAGCTGTACAACGTGACGAATATGTTCATCGACCTGGTGCAGAGCAAGCAGGCATATCCGGAAGGTGAGTGCGCGCGTTCACACTCGGGGATGCCTCCCGACGGGACATCAATGGGAGGCCAGGAGGGGAGGGGTTTTGGGGTTAGGAGCATGAATTATATCGCGCATTTTCGCCCTGTTGGGCCGACGGTTACGCCCTGCACGCCGAGAACGCGCTGCGTCGCGCGCCCGAAAAATGGCCGGTCGCTCTTGTTGGTAAACAGACGGCTGGTTGTCAATCGGGGTGGGTTGATGACATATGTACATCTTTCGTCCTCGTTCGCGTTCGACGATTACGCGCGATAGATCTCGCGACTGTTGCCGGAGCCGATAGGTAATCGTGGAATGCGGAAGCGGCTTAGGAGATACACGCGTCGAAATTTTCACGGAAAAGATGATTTTGATAGTTTTCCAATGGAACACTATGTCCGTATTTTGGAAAATAATTTTGTACTAAGTTACAAAGGATGAAAAGTTGAATGATAAATTGATGAATGTAAAAGTACTGGCGGAAAAGTTTTTATATCAAAGAATTTCCCGTGATTGCCTGCCCCTGAAAATACATCAATGAATCGCTAATGAGCTTCAACGTGAACCCAACTTTAGAAGCGGACGCGCGTGCGAGGCCGACGGATTATCCATGAAGGTCGCGAGATCGAAACGTGTAGGATCACGTTTACATTTACTTGAGTCGAGCGATTTCTATGAAAATAACGGTCATAAAATACAAAGAGACAAGGAATAGGAAGAAAGAAATAAAAATTTAATTAAGTATTATTTTTTAAATTGTATGCAGTTGTAACGCGACAATTCTTATAAAAATTACAATCATCTGTAAAATATATATACGGAACAAAATCATAATAGGAAGAGAGAAATAAAGAATTATTTAAACATTTTTTTAAATTATGTGCAATATTGAAACAATTGTAAAATTGACACGCGAAAATTCTGCTAAAAATTATGATTATCTGTAAAATATGTACAAAGGAACAAAATTGCAATAGGAAGAGAGAAATAATTAAGCTTTTTTAAATTATATTCAATATTGGAGCAATTGTAAAATTGATACGCGATAATTCTTATAAAAGTTGTGATTTATGTATAAGATATACATATATAAAGGAATGAGATCGCAAGAGGACGAGAAAAATAAAGAATTAATTGATCAAAGCTTTTAGGATTATATGCGATATTGGAATAATTTTAAAATTCAGACATAACAATCCAGATTAGCTAACTCTATTTCTATAATTTTGTGTTTTTATATAATTCTATTTACAAAAGACGAAGGAAGAAAATCAATTATATAGAATTATCGCCGATCGATGTTGTAATGTGAGACTTTTATTTCCTTATTGCAGATATTGAATTGCGAATTGAATTCTAAAGTGGAAAATCGTATACATTTTTCCTTGTGCTGTATGTTGTAAATAAATTAATTTTTTCACATGTCACTGTTTGACAGTATGAAACATATTCAAAACTATCTTTTTCGTTACTCTGCGTTTCCAAATGCACATATAAGTTAGCTTGCATTCAAAATGTACGTAAAATTGTACAAATAATAAATGTAAAACTCACACAGTTTACAATGAAAACGTGTATATAATTTTAATTTTATCTGTAACCCGTGTAATACATAATTTTCTATGGCATGTGTATGCCGTATATTTTTCAATGAAAAATATGAATTTCACAAGAGTTAATTAAGATTTTTTAAACTGCAAATTTAAAAAAAGCTATCAGTATCAATTGTTATCAATTTCTGTCATTGAACATGCTATAAGGGCGACATACCAAAAAAAGGTTTTATTTCAACAAACAGCGTTAGAGAAAAAAAAAATTCGCATGATTTCTTGTTTCTGACGTCACAGTTTAATATGAGGAAAATGGTAGGCCTTAAATGGTGAACCGAGGGATCGCGAGTTATGATCTGGTCACGAATATGACATACAAGCGAGAAATAATGGCATCATATTCCGTAGGAAGAACTTATATGTTCGTTTACAGAAATTTTACAAAGCTATAAAAACGTCTAACATTACAGTTCTACGTGGATTGTTAAAAGAAAAAAAAATTATCGCTACATTTAATCGCGATTATCACATATAACGGAAGATACTAGATCAAAAATATATCAGTATAGTTTTAGTATCGCGATGTATATTTCAAATTAAAAGGAAAACTCATTATTTTCATTCGTTTACATAAATTTTTCCATTTCATAAATTTATTTTCGCGAATTTTTGTGAACTGATGCTTTTATCCGCGAATCTGGTCCTCCTGACTCGCGTAAATTTATGCGACGTTTCTACACTCGTCTTTCTCTCTCTTTTTCTTTCTATCTCTCCATGAAATATTCCTTATAAATCAGATTTGGGTCCAGCGACGAGATTATGCGTCCGAACAAAATCGATATCAATTTAGATTTGATACGCGTCCGCTCATGCGCGCCGCTTTTTCATTCCGTTCCGATTGAATTTACGCGATTGTCTGTCCTTTGTTAACCTCTGAAATACGATTCACAATAGGCATGAATGAAGTATTCGTGATCTTTTACATAGAAATTGGTACGCAATGATCGGTAGATTGGCAGAAGCTTTTTGCACGTGATTTACTCAGTCATTACTCGGGATTTTTCGATTGTCGCTTTGACATTCAGACTTTAACTTTCCATTGAAATTTACTTTTTCGTCATTATTATTCATATTAAATAAAGTTCTCATGTAAACGTGCATCTGGATATTCGATTTCAGCGATGATTTTTTTGGCAATTTAAAAATTTTTGGCGATTTTAAAAGAGCATAAATAAAGAACAATTTGTACGTTACACGTATCAACTTCAAAGTTATCACGCTCAAAGCTTTCTGCTCCGTCACTAATTATGCAATAATTCTTGCGAAAAATACGGGAGCTTATTTTCGACGTCGAGATTTTCCTTGTTAATGTATTCGAAGATGAAATTAGCGATCTGCTTCCGCGGCTTGTGCGCAAAGAAAAGAGCAAGAAGCTCGTAGTATTTCAGCGATACGCAAACGCTTTCGCGCGGTGCAGGGTGATTCGTTAAAAACTCCGATAACTTCGTGAACTACGCGGATCATTGACCCCCCCGGGCGCAATAACGTAGGAGCGTGTGTATCGCGTTTAGCAGGAAGTTGATAGCGAGAGAGCACGTCATCGTCCGTCCAGAAGCGGGAACTATGATGATCATGCTCGCCATATTCTCGTCGTTTATGTCTGTCGGCAGGACTCTCGTCGTTCGATCGATGCGCGAACGTCAACGTGGCTTACCTTGAAATTTTTTTAGAAATATTTAATAACATTTTTAAAAATTTGAAAATATTAAAAAGAAATATTTAATAATAATGTTTAGGAACTCTATGTTTTCCTTAGAAATATTTAATGTTTCACGAGCGAGAAGGAGAAGCATTTTGATACGGAAAGAAGTTCTGCTGAAGGCTCTAAAAATTTGACCAGACATACATGTGCAAAATAATTTTATTGAGCCATCAAAATAATTATGCAGGATATTGAAATTAATTCCTAAAAGAACGGAAATTATTATCATGCTTAAGCATATTATATAATAATTTTTTGAGCCATTAAAATTATTATATGTAAGACATTTTAATACACATTTTAATTATGATAATACTGCAAAATTTCTTTTAAGCAACCAATTTAAATGCTCTACATAATTATTTTGATGACTCAACAAAATTACTTTTCACATCTGTATCTAGCCAAATTTTTAGCAAAAACTGTTCTTTTCGTCTATTGAAATAAATGAATCATATCAAAATATAAATGGTATATAAATAATGTTAAAATTAATAAAAATTTATTTAATGAAATTTATGAAAAGTATGTCGATCGCGGCGCGCACTCAGATATTCGTGCTATTTAAATCATTTTTTATCTTCGCGACGCCTATGTCGTCTCCGATTTATTTTCAGGACCGCGCGAACCACTCGGAAACCGTTGACAGATCTCTCCGAAACGAGAGTACGGTTGTGTTTACGCTTCTATGTTCTTTCTAATGGTTTACACGATACGATCTAGGAAGTTCTCATGTTTCGAATTCAACTTGTTGTTGATCGTTCCAGCTCCGATCTACATCCAAGTGCGGGTATATAGGATAGGAGAAGGTGATATTTTGCGGAGACTGTGCAGGTCTCAATTACGTACAGATGCCGCGGTAAACGCGTCTGTCTCGAACTCGCGTTTACGACTTCGATTTTGCGCGACACCACGCTGGAGAGAGAGTAAACCACGGGGGTAACAATGGAAGCGAAGTTTGGACCTCGCCATAATATAATCAGCGTACCGTGACAATCTAATTTCGTCCGAATTCGCGCGGCGGATTTAATGGCACCGGATGCGGTCGAAACTGGAGACGCGCTCGCGTCTGTAACCAGCTCGGCCCGTATATTATATACACGAGCCTCAGGTGATGCCGAATTATAAACTGAAACTCGACACGGCCGCGCGTCGTCCGCATTCGTACGCCCGCGGAAAATTACGCGCCGGCGGAATTGAATTTCGATAATCGCGAACGCTTCTATCCAAGCGCCGTCATCCGTGGCCCGTGACGGCCGATTTTCCTCCGATGATGACAGTGCTCCTTTTTGAAGTTCTCGCATCCACCACGCGCAGTCGAATAACGGCATCTTTAACAGTACGGATTATCCCGAACATCCAACTGACGCGCCTCTTATCGCTTCATTATACGATCGACGAGAAGCGGAACCGACGATATTATCGAATCGAGGGTGCACCAGAATGTCTACTGTCTAGAAAAATCCTAGAAAAATCCCTGAAATTCTCAGGGAGAATTCCGTTTACACCTTGAAAAATTAGAATTTTATTGAATATTTTTATTCAGGGAATTGTTTTTCTAACATTTTATATCTTTATATTATTATATTATTATATAATCGGGAGTTTATTGTCTAAATTGTTAACGATAACAGGACTCATCCATTCTAAACAACAGAGCACATTGACTTTATGATATTCCAT